TTCTGTCTACCCCTCTCCCTCTGTCTCCTTCTCTCTTTCTGTCTACCTCTCTCCCTCTCTCTCTCTACCTCTCTTTCTCTATCTCTCTCCATCTCTTTATATTTCTCTCTCATCACACCCCCCTCCCAGCTATGAACAAAAGAAATTCAAAGCAGACATTTAATTATTTGGTTGATTTTTAAAAGTACCTGCTTCATTCATTTGTTGTGGAGTGTGAGGACTAGAGACTGTTGGGATGGGCAGGCAGTATTGGCCACAGCCCTAGGGGAATTGAGCCTGAGTGCAAAGTACCAGCTCTGAAGTAACACGGTCTCATGTATAATGCAGCCTCAAGAATCCATGGACCACTTTATAGCCAGCTCCCATTCAGTTCCTGGGCTGCAAAATTGTTTGGGATGTCCTAAGGACAAAGAAGAATGCCTTTTCTTTTTCTTTCTCCCTTTCTCTCATCCTTGTGTTTAATTGTCTATTGGGTTGTTTTTTATCTGGTGTAACAATGCCCCTGCAATATAAGAAACTGGACATGGATATCGTGGTATTGCAGAATCCAGCAAAAGTTCATTACAACCAGGGTGTTATGCTTTAAGTGATCTTCGGTAAGATGGAGACTGAGACTCTTATATCCTCAGGTGACATGCTATGACACAGTGATGATATCATGAGGATGCCTCTTAAAGGCATCCTGACTGTGAGACATAGCACAATTTTCTTTCTTTATCTTGACTTATTCTTTTCTTTCTGCCTGTATGTTTTCATTTTTCACATTGAAGAAATCTTCCTCCCACCTATCCCCTCCTCCCACCTCAAGCCGCACCTCCATCTCCTACCGACCAACCTCATCCCGCCCCCTTGATCTGTCCGTCCTCCCTGGACTGACCTATCCCCTTCCTAACTCCCTACCTACACTCACCTTTACTGGCTCCATCCCCGCCTCTTCGACCTGTTTGTTTCCTCTCCACCTATCCTCTCCTCTATCCCTCTTCTATCCGCCTCCCACTCTCTCCCTATTTATTTCAGAACCCCCTTCCCCTCCCCCTTTTCTGATGAAGGGTCTAGGCCCGAAACGTCAGCCTCTCTGCTCCAATGATGCTGCTTGGCCTGCTGTGTTCATCCAGCCCTGCACCTTGTTGTCTCGGATTCTCCAGCATCTGCAGTTCCTACTATCTCTAAATTATCTGTTCTCTTTACAGTTGCTTCACTTGTTCATAGCCACAGTTCTGGAATTCATCAGAAAATTACACGTGTTTCCAACTTATTAACTGTTTTCTGAATGTGTAAATTAGAATGTATAAATTCAGAAATTGTTTAAATTCATTTTTTCTTTGCCTTTTTCCAACAAGACCGTTGTTGGAGTTATGTATCCCCTCGATTCTGGATCCTACCATCGCTCCACCAGCCTGTCATGTCATCTCTATCTTCACCCAGTACACACCATACTATCTACAAGGAGGTAAAGAGTGGGATGAACTGGAGAGGAATCGCTACGCTGATAGAGGTAGGCAACACAATAAAATGGCTTACCACTAGGTCGCTTGGAGCCAGTGGGTTTACCTAGGGAATATATCAACTGAGCTCCATTGGGGTTGAATCAGCTAAGGTTATATTCACTAGAATTCAGAAGAATGAAGAGGGATCTCACAAAAACCGATAAAATTCTAACAGATCTGGACAGGGTAGATGCTGGAAGGATGTTCCCCGTGGCAGGGGAGTCCAGAGCCAGGGGTCACAGTTTAAGGATAGGTCATTTAGAACTGAGTTGAGGAGAAATGTCTTCAGCCAGAGTGTGGTGAGCCTGTGGAGTGCATTACCACAGAAATCAGTCCAGGCCAAAACATTGTACAATTTTAAGAAGGAGTTGGATGTAGCACTTGGGGGCCTAAAGGGATCAAAGGATGTTGGGAAAGCAGGATTGGCTGATTGAGTTGGATGATCAGCCATGATCATAATGAATGGTGGAGCAGGTTCAAAGGGCTGAATGGCCTACTCCTGCTATTTCCTGTGTTTCTTAAAGTTTAATCAAAATACAACTCTGAAGACAGTTCTGAAGAAGGGTCGCTGGACCCGAAACGTTAACTCTGCTTTCTCTCTACAGATGCTGCCAGACCTGCTGAGCTTTTCCAGCAATTCCTGTTTATGGAGCTGCATGTTCCTGTTGAGCTGTCTCAGTTACCAATGACAGCAGACAGGAAATGAAAGCACAGCTGCAGCCTCCTTAGGGCTTTTGGATGTTGGAAAACATCCTGGGGATTGGGTGGGGGTTTGTACGCGAGAAGTTCCTGACCTTGCAGATGGCCTTAGCGATGTTTTTCTGCTGATGGCCTTCCAATGTGGAAAACTGCTGTTGGAGGCCCTCCCTTTGTTCAGATAGCTACACTGGAAAGCATTTGTACTAATAGCAACAGCTTCCTTCAACGTAGGGCCTTTATGTTATTAAACATCCCAGACAACCACAGGATTACAATCAAATTAAAATTAACATCGAAACACATAAGGAGAGGTATTCGTGGTTTTTAACTCCCTTATCTCTCAATTCTAGGAGACTCCTAGCTGGTTCCCCCACATGCTTGTTTTAACAGCCCATCTCAGGGCTAGAAGAGTATACGTGGATTGAATGGACTCACTTGGTTCACAGCAGCAGCCAGTTTAACTGAGAAACTTTTAGTTCATTAAGAAGCTCAGTTCCAAGTCCCAGCTCCCCCCAGCCCGTGATGTTTCTGAATGTATTGAGCAGGGATTTGACAGACACGGGTTGAAAAGGTCATTGTGCTTCATAACCCTTGCCCAAGTGAGAGGAAGAAGATGGCAGATAAATTTCTGTTCAAGTCCTGTTAGCACTTCAGATAGATATTGAATTAGGATCTCAGGAACCTTTAGCAAAATTCAACGGATAACCGGGAAAGCATATGGAATGTCAGCCTTTATTTCAAAGGGAATGGAGTATAAAAGTAGGGAAATTTTGCTAAAACTATACAAGGCACTAGCCAGACCACAGTTGGAATACTGTGAATAGTTTTGGGCCCCATATTTAAGGAAAGATGTACTGGCATTGGAGGCAGTGCAGGGAAGGTATGGAGGCATTGTCTTACATGGAGAGGTTAAGTAGATTTGATTTGTACCCATTGGAATATAGAAGAATGAGAGGTGACCTTAGTAAACATATAACGTTCATAGAGGACATGACAGGGCAGTTAAGGAAAGGTTGTTCAGAGGTAGTAAGAACTGCCGATGCTGAAGTCTGAGATAACACAGTGTGGAGCTGGAGGAACACAGCAGACCAGGCAGCATCAGAGGAGCAGAAAAGCTGACGTTTCGGGTCAGGACACTTCTTCAGAAGTCTGTTCTTCCAGCTCCACACTAAGGAAAGATTGATTCCTCTTATGGGAGAATTTAGGGCTAGTGGGCATAATCTCAGAATAATTGGTCAAAAATTTAAGACAGTGATGAGGAGGAATTTCTTCTCTGAATGATTCGCTGCAGCAAATCTAAAACTAATCCTATGCTGGTTCCTATGTCGTCCTATGCTTCAAATCATTTCCAATTTTCCATTTGTTATGACTGAAATGTCTTTCCCTAGTTCTCCACCAAACCACAGCCCACAGCATATGTCCAGTTATTTAACCCGTTTCTCGATTAGCCAATTGTATGCTTCCTCTATATTAAGCTCAAAATTTTAAAAATCTATTAACCCAATTTCTTAAGTAAACAGAAAATTATCAAATGTTTACAAACAAAATATATTCAATGACGCAAAACAGATTAACACAATTTGTAACACAAAAGCTCAAATTTTACCCATTTAAACAATCTAAATCAGAGACACAATGAGTAAAGGTAAAAATATAAATTTTTCTCTGTAGAGATTCACTTTTGGAAAATTAAAGCAGTTTTGGCCAACATGCTTTAGTTCTTGAAGGTATAGAAAACGGTGTGGAATTTCAGATGGTGTCAGTCTACTGCTCTAGTGCACAAATAGTAATGTTACCAAAGGCATGCAGATGTCTCTGGGATCTTTGCCAACACGGCTTGCTCAGGGAACACAATGTCAAGGCTTCTTCAGGAACGCAATCAGGGTTCAGAGTGGACCAGGGTTCCAGCTACTTTATTAAACAGGAGAGCTGAGCTGGGAAGCTCTCTCCCCTTCTTCTCCCAGATTGGCCACCACCTGAAAATATCAAGCAATCTGCAACGCCAATACTGCTTCCTGAGAGCTGTAAACCCGGACAGGAGATCTGCAGTAAACGTGAGGCTCGTCACAAGACGTGTCAATTTCAAGAAGTGTTTTGTTTATAAAATATCTTCCATTTTCCTTTCAGTGACCTCTTTTTTTAAAAAAAAATCTGGGTATCCACAACCCTTCAAACTTAACTTCACAAAAATTGTTAAATATAATGTCTTCATAAAACCTTAAAAAATACAATGTTCTTACAACCGAAATTTTTGCTTTTATTCTTTTGTGGGAAGTAACTGTTACTTATAAGTGTGCAAAGATCTGAAAGGGTCAATACTGAGGACTGACATCAGAATCACTCATTATGATGATGTTATATGGGCTTGAGGGCAGAACAGCTGAGGATCTCAAAGAGAGAGACCCAGCACCTGATCTTCCACATAGTCTCTGTAACAATGTATAACATAGCAATATAGCCTGTATCTAGTTGCTAATGTGTAGGAAACTACTTCTAGTTCAATACAAGAGCCTCTTCTGGTTAGACTAGGAAACGGGAAGGTGATGGCCTAGTGGTATAATTATTGGACTGTTAAACCAGAGATCCAGGTAATGTCCTGGGGGCCTGTGTTCAAAACTTGCCACAACAGATTTGAATTCAATGCAAATCTGGAATTAAGGGTCTAATGATGACCATGAATCCATTGCCAGTTGTTGGGGGAAAAGCCCATCTGGTTCACTAATGTCCTTTAGTGAAGGAAACTGCCATCCTTACCTGGTCTGGCCTACATGTGACTCCAGACCCACAGCAATGTGGTTGACTCTTAACTGCCCTCTGGATGGGCAACAAATGCTGGCCTGGCCAGCAATGCCCTCATGTTGTGAATGAGTAATAAAAGAATATAGATTTTTGGCTACTATACCAGACCTTGCAGCTCCTGTAGATCCTGACAGTTAGAGAAGAAGACAGCTAAACCAATGCCCCCCACCCCCCACTTCCAAAACAGTAGGTGCAAACTTGTTTTAACTACAATAAAACGTGGTGAGCAGTGGGGTGCATATAATTTGGCTAACTCATACAACAACTTGCAAAGCTTGTTCTCCATCCAGAATTGACCTTGTATTGAGTGGCTTGCTGGACCATTCCAGAGGGCAGCTTACCAATCAACTACATTGCTGTGGGTCTGGAGTCACATGCAGCTAGGCAGGATAAAGACAGCAGATTTCCTTCCTTAAAGATCGCAAGTGAACCAGACTACAACAACTGAGAACAGCTTCAGGGTCAAACCTTTGCTAGCTTTATTTTTCAACTCCAGCATTATAAATGTGGTTCAAACGCAACTAGCCACTATGGTAGGATTTAAACCTGTTTCCCCACAATATTAGGCCAGATCCCTGAGGTATTAGTCCAGTGAAGTTACCACTTTGTCACTGTCTCCTCCATTCACAGTGGTAAATCATTCTATGTTCTGATAACGTCTTTGCCCAAATTTCTCCAAATCTCTCCATTCGCTACCATTTGGGCACATACTAAAATTAATTACCCTTGCCAGTGATCAACCCTGCCCTTGTCAATATTCATTGGCAACTCTCAGCCTTGCCCACAGACATTGCATACCAACCTTGCCCTGAGTATGGCCACCTGAACCCCTCTTCCATCTGTTTCCAATTCTAGCATCTGTTCTTTTCATTCTCCCTGAAATCTACATCTGATTCCCAACCAAGTGTAGCCACTTGGTTTGAATGGATACCAGCCCAGGGAGAGTGAACCCTGACCTAAATGCCCAGCATTGAGTTGGCTAATGAACTGGAAGAGGTGACTCAGTCTTCTAGGAAAGTAAAGCGTGCTTTTTGAGGTTAGTTATGACCTTTTATTTGTTTTGAGGACGTGTGATTATTTGTAATGTTCTGGCCCTCTGTTCAATGCATCATTTCCCTGGAAAGATACTGCTGGCTTTGAGGGCATTTCTTTCCTGGTTCAATGACGTTGACATTTTCTGCTGAAGGTTGATGTTTGAAGCCTTTTTCTACTTAAGAACGCTTTCCAATCGCATCATTTGGTGCAGTACTAAGCCATAAGCAGTGGTAAAGGTTTAACTCATAGTCTTCAGCTGGGACAGTAGTTCAGCTTCAATGATTAACTTTAATGTCCCTGAGCTACAACTTGGGAATAATTAACTTGGCTTATTGTAGAATGGGATCCCCACTGGAGAACACAATCAGTTAGTGAAGCAATAGACTCAGGCACAATACCCTCCACAGTCAAATTGTCCACTCACACAAGCAATGGATACTTGAGTAACTCACAAGCTTAAGCATATATACCAACAGGTTCAAGAACAGCTTTGTCCCTGCTGTTATTAGACTGCTAAATGGACCTCTCTAACTTCAAATCTAATGTTGATCTGGTATTTGTGCACCTTCCTTGCAGCTGTAACCTTGTATGCCTCGCTGTGTCTAAGTATCATATGACCTGTATGTCCTTGTATGTTATGATATGCCGGTACTTCACGCAAAACAAAACTTTTCACTGTACTTAGATCCATACGACAACAATAAATCATATCAAAGAATAAATCTTGAGGAGGTGCTAGGAAGAGTAAGCACCTTCAGAAGAGGAGAAGGAGAAGAGAAAAGGATAAATGAAGAGTGTGAGAAGTCTAATTCCCTTCCCTTGAATGTCTGAATACCCATTGGTCTTCTCTTGCCTTCCTCAGTGTTCGACTGCATTGAGCAGTATGCTCCAGGATTCAAGTCCTCTGTGATTGGGCGTGATGTCTTGACACCACCAGACCTGGAGAAAGTGTTTGGCTTAACTGGAGGGGTTGGTATTTGTCTTATAACGTCAGTCAATGAGAAATGATCAATCCGTAGATTGAAAATGATGGTGCAGTTCGCGGTGTTTGGGCTGTCTTCATGTCCGCTGGTCTTGCCCTGTTTAGGCAGTTGACATTCATTCCCCTCATCACTTAAACCGTTAGGACCTGGGGACCATCCAATGTCACTTCTCCACTTTCCCTCCCAGATTTAACACTCCCCCGGTCTCCCGTTGCCCGAGTTGTGCATTGTACTGAGACACATTCTTACTAGACGATACAGATCGACTTGAATTCTGCTGTTTTGGCTATTAAAAATTCTTTAAATGGGATGTGGCGCTCACTGGCAAGACCAGCATTTGTTGCCCGTTCCTAACTGCCCTTGAATTAAGTGCCTCACTAGGCCATAGCAGAGGCCAGTTACAAGTCAAGCACGTTGCTGTGGGTCTGGAGTCACATGTAGGCCAGACCAGGTAAGGATGGCAGATTTCCCTCCCTAAAGAGCATTGGTGAACCAGATGGATTTTTACAACAATTGATGATTGTTTGATAGTCAGCATTACTGGGACGAGCTTTCAATTCTAGATGTTTCTAAATTAATTGAATTTTAAATTACACTTGCTGCTGCGGTAGGAATTGAGCCCATGTTCCCTGAGTATTATTTTACAGACTTCATTAAATAAAATTCATTGAAATAATTTTACTTGAAATTCACAGTAGCGAGATAGCTATATCCCATTTCTCAATGCTTTATCTTTGTCTTTATCTCAGTAGCACTGATCCAGCAGAGGAAACAGCAGCTCCTGTTCTATGTTCGCCTGCATTTGACACTCAAACCCTCAAAAGTGGACTGACTTTTTTTCCCTTTAGTTTTATCTCTTTATTTCAAAGGGAATGGAGTATAAAAATAGGGAGAAAAAAAGCAAAGTGCTGGAAAAGCTCAGCAGGTCTGGCAGCATCTATGAAGGAAAACACAGAGTTAACGTTTTGGGCCCGGTAACCCTTCTGCACCAGTTCTGAGGAAGGGTCACTGGACCCGAAACATTAACTCTGTGTTTTCCTTCACAGATGCTGCCAGACCTGCTGAGCTTTTCTAGCAGCTTTGTTTTTGTTCCTGATTTACAGCATCCGCAGTTTTTTCGGTTTTTATAAAAGTAGGGAGGTTTTGCTAAAACTATACAAGGCGCTAGTCAAGCCACAGCTGGAATATATTGAACAGTTTTGGGTCCCTTACCTAAGGAAAGATAGAGGGACTGTCTTATGAGGTGGGGTCAAGTGGCTTGGGTTTGGACTCATTAGGATTTAGATGAATGAGAGGAGACTTTATTGAAACAGTAAGATTCTTAGGGGACTTGGCAGGGTAGATGTGGCGAGGTTGGTTCCCCTAGTGGGAGAATCTAGGACCAGAGGGCATAATCTCAGAGTGAGGGATCACAGATGCAAGGCAGAGATGAGGAGGAATTCCTTTTCTTGGGGGCTGGTGAAGCTATAGAATTCTTTACCACAGAGAGCTGTAAGAGGCTGAGTCATTAAATATTAAATGGTTTGAGCCAAGCAGATTTTTTAATCAGTTAAGAGAATCAAGGGTTGTGGGGAAAAGGCAGGAAAGTGGAGTTGAGGAGCCATGATCCAATCAAATGCCAGAGCAGATGGGCTGAATGGCCTATTTTGCTCCTAAGTTTAAGGTGATTGCTGGTGTCCCATTTGGGACCAATGGCTGGGGACATGTCCACCTTGTTTATTACAGCTACCAGTCTTCACTTGTATGTGAGAGAGCATTTGTTCACATTGACATCGAAACTCACAATTTAAACTGTAACATTGGCGACCATCATGGTTAATCCGGTCCCAGTTTCTCCTGTAGCACAGTGTCCGGTTCTGGCTGCCGTACTTTACAGAGGATCTTAAGGCTTTGGAGAAAGTCGTGTCCAATGGGAAAGACTCAGTGATACTTGAGAAGAAACGGACCGGTTTTACTGGAGCTCCATTTTGCAGTATATGGGACCAGTATGACTCATTCGCTGGTTTTATTAGTTTTTCTTCCTGGGTAGGGAGGTTTATAAGGGATATCCATGATGGCTGGTTTACAATGCAGAGAGATATCAACAACATGGGTTCAATTCCTGCACTAGCTGAGGTCACCGTGAACGATTCTCCTTCTCAACCTCTCCCCTCGCCTGAGGCGTGGTGACCCTTGGATTAGATTACAGTGACTTTACCTTTTACAATAAAACCTAAAACACAAGTGTTCAGTCCCTTGAAACACGTCTCGCTACTTTACCCTGTTGTATTGCTCTCAATGACAGTACTGAATGTATTTCTCTGTTGTTCTGTCTGATTTGGCGGCGAAATGGATTAATATTCCCCATTTGTGGCATTTTCTTGCAGAATATTTTCCATGGAGCAATGTCACTTGATCAGCTGTATATGACTCGACCTCTACCCTCATACTCGAACTACAGATCACCTGTCAAAGGCCTTTACCTGTGTGGCAGTGGAGCGCACCCAGGTAACAAGGCTGTCTAAAAAGTAACAAAAATAATAACGATCCCGGGGTTGAAGGGCTTATCATATGAGGAGTGGTTGAGGACTCTAGGTCTGTACTAGATAGAGTTTGGAAGGGTCTGATTGAAACTTACAGAATACTGAGAGGCCTAGATAGCGTGGACATGGGGAAGATGTTTCTACTAGTAGGAGAGTCTAGTACCTGAGGGCATAGCCTCAGAGTGAAGGGACCACCCTTTAGATGAGGAGGAATTTCTTCAGCCAGAGGGTGTTGGATCTCTGGAACTCATTGCTGCAGAGGGCTTGGAAACCAAGTCATTGGGTGAACTTGTGACAGAGATAGATAGTTTCTTGCTTAGTAACTGGAGCCAGGGTTACGAGGAGAATGCAGGAAAGTGGGATTGAGAAACATATCAACTATGATCGAATGGTGGAGCAAACTCAGTGGACCAAATGGCCTAATTCTGCTCTTACATCTTATGGTCTTGTGGTCTAACTCTGGACTCACCCACAAACTCAAAAGGGTTGCAGAGCGAATAAGCAATTGTGCTAAAAACTCTGGGGTGGGATGAGGGCGTGGTTAGGCTATGCTGGTGGGAGAGAAGCAGCAAAGGATACCTAACATTTCAGATCCATAACACTTTGTGTCAGATTTCCAGCATCTGTGGTAAGTGCAGTGCTAAGGAAGTGCCACACTGTTGAACAGTGTCATATTTTAGATGATGCAGGAAACAAAGGCCCTGTCTGTCCTTTGAGTACATATGAAAGATCTTACAGCATTGTTTTGAAGAGGGACAGACTAGATACCCTGGTGTCCCTCAATCAACACACAAGAAGAGGTCATTTGGTCATTATCACATTGCTGGTTTTTTGGAGCTTGCTATGCCGAGATTGGCTATTGCATTTCCTACAACATTGACTACACTTTAAGAAGTACTTAATTGGCTTTAAAATGTTATTGACTGTCCAATGGGTGTGAAAGGCACTATATAAATGCAAGTCTTTTTAAAATTGGGATAAAACAGCTTCTGAAGGATCTCCACAGCAAGCCCTGAAAGCTGAATACGTACAAGTGGTTTTGTATCAAGGGGTTTTCTGAAACAATCTGTAAGATTTTATGTGAGCCGCAATATTTACGTTTATTAGACAGAGAAGCCATTGGGAACTAATTGAAAATACAACCAGAAAGTTACGTGGAATGGTCAACAGTTAGAAAAATCAATCAGAGTACTTCCACCAAAAAGTATCAGGACCCCTGTAGGAAAGTGCTTGTGAGTGGGTTATTGTTTTATTTATTCATTCAGGAGATGTGGGTGTCACTGGCTTGCCTTGAGAAGCTGGTGGCGAGCTGCCTTCTTGAACCATTGCAGTCTGTAAGCTGTAAGTACAGCTACAATGCCGTGAAGGAGGGAGTTGCAGGATTTTGACCCAGCGACGGTGGAGAAATAGCCGTGTATCCCAAGTCCGCTGAGCAGGTGATTTGAAAGGGAAGTAGAGTCGGTAGCATCTCTTGATGTTGGAAATTGGGAGTTTGAAAGCTGTGTGAAAACAGATTAGCTGTGATGTTTTGCACAGCTGAATAGATTCCTTAACAACTAATTAGTGACATGCCCTATTTCTTTCATCAGGAGGTGGAGTGATGGGATCAGCAGGCCGTAATGCAGCATGTGTTGTCCTTTCTGACCTCAGACGGGTTTAACGGACCCTCTTGCCAGGGCTGTTGGCTTTGAATACACCTCAACAAAAGAATATGCTCACGCAGTCTACGTGTTCAGCGCTTAGAATGATTTTTGAATAGGGAAATAAAATTAATATCAGTCCATAGCATCAGAGAGGAGCACAGGACAGAATTGAACCAGGCTTGGGCCTTTCAAAGAGTGAGACAGTTAGCCCCTATATTCCTGACTTTTTCTTTATCAAGCATTTATCCAATCCTCTTTGGAATGCTACTATAGATTCCACATCCGGCACCTTGCAAGACAGCACATTTCAGATTCCAATCACTCCTGGTGTAACAGAGGGAGTACACAATGAGCAAAAGGACCCTCGGAAGTAAAAAGAATCAGAGGGACCTTGGTGTGCAAGTCCATAGATGCTTGAAGTCAAGAGGACAGTTAGGTAAAATGGTTAGAAAGGCATGCGGGACACTTCCCTTTGCTCGTTGAGGCATTGAATACAAGAGTAGGGTGGTTATGGTAAAACGCTAGTTCGGCCACAGCTGGAGTACTGAATGCAGTACAGCTCTGTTGAAGAGTCATCTAGACTCGAAACATTAGCTTGCTGTCTCTCCACGGATGCTGCCTGACCTGCTGTGATTTCCAGCACTTTTTGTCTTCTGTTTTCAGTACCGTGTGCAGTTCTGCTCACCACACTGTAGGAAGGATATGATGGTACTGGGTTCACCGGGACTGAGCTTACCTGGCCTGCAGCAGTTTAGCTTCTGAGAGAGTCTGGACAGGCTGGGGATGTTCTACGTGGAGCAGAGAGGGCTTAGGGGGAAACTCGATTGAGGTGCACAAAATTGTAAGGGGCATCGACAGGGAAAAACTTTTCCCCTTTGAAGAAGGGTCAATTAACCAGGGGCTCAGACTTAAGGGAAGGAGCAGGTTATAGAGTTTAGAGGGGATTTAAGGAAGAATGTTTTCACACAGAGGTTCATGAGTAAAAGGTGACAGAGGCAGGAACCCTCAGAACATTGAAGAAATATTTTGATGACCACTTGAAATTGTGCACAAGGCTTAGGGCCAAGTGTTGGAAAATGGGATTAGAAGAGATAGCTTTTTGATGACTGGTGTGGACACAATGGGCTGAATGGTCTGTTTCTGCGATGTGCAACTCTATGATGCTAAGAGCTATACTGCTTTATCTAATAAAACATGAAGTAACCCTTCTAATTTTCAGGTTCTGAATTAAATGTGATAATCTGTGCAAGCAGAATGCAAATTTCAAGAAAACATGCAAATTACTTATGGAGGTTTGACCTATTTGTCATTAAAAGCTGTGATAAACCAATTCTAAAGTGGACTCTATATCCTTTACTCAGTATTAATGTAGCTGCTTGGATTGGTCTTGGGCATAAAAAACTGAAGAATTATGAATTAAAGACAATTTAACAAGCATTGTGTCTTTCAAGTATCAGTAAAAATCTTAGAGAAGTCAACAGCCCATTGACATTTTGTCAGTTTGAGCTTTAAGTTATGTTCCTTTGTTGTAAAGTGATCTTTCATCAGCTGCCTGCTGATATAGATACAACGGCCTTTTAATGTCAGAAGTGTTTTATGCATCTCTTCCTGGTCACCAGCCATTGAAGCAGTCTGCTTGGACCATGAAAATAAACTGCTTCAAAAGTCTCCTGTCTTTTATTTTCAGCTTAGTGAAGCAAAACATTTCATAGGAGGTTACACTTTGGGATTAAGGATGTTGTAAATTAGAAAAGTAAACACCATTGGAACTTTGTCAAAGACAGAAAGTCCTGGAGAGTGTTATGGACCAGACCAGACCAGCTCAAAATATTTTAAGAAGATAGCCCAGACCCTAATTTTTCTTATTTTAAAGGGAATGCAAAGTATCATTTTCTAGATACAATGCGACTGGTCAAACTACTCGACATTAAGTAAAACAAGTAAACATTATAATTAAAATACAAACAAAGAAAGAAGAACCTTGAATAATTTAACTCTGTTGGAAAACTGAACAGAGCTATAGATACAATAATTATTACTAATTAATAATTCTAATATAGTGACATTCAATAAACATATCCCTTGGCAAAAAAGGCAAATTGAGACACAGATTCTCACATGCAGTTCTCCAATCCAGGAGGAAAAAAAACACCGAGAAAATTCAGACAGACTAGCAACCAAGAGATATTTACTGAAGGTTCTAACTTTGTTGAGACCCTAACAGCTTCCGATGCTACTGAAAAACCAAAGCCCAGAATTCCTCTTCTGTGAGAGCTGGCCACACCCATTCAGGCTGTTTAAAAAAAAAACCGCAAGGCCTCCCAATCTGTTTACTCAAGTGGGCTTCATGAGCCAGCTCGACACCACTCGTTCAATCTCTGTCTTAAAAGAAACCAGGAGAAAATAATGTCTTAAAGCCACAGCATTGTCATGAGACTCAGCAGGACTGGCAGCATCAGTGGAGAGCAAGATAACACAAGTTAATGTTTTGGATGCAGGATAACTTGTCCTCAGATTCCCAGCATCTTCGTTTTGTTTGATTGTTTCTTTGATCCTCAGTTCATGATCAGGTGATGCCATTTTCAGAATGAAGTGCATCATTTGGGTGGCATGATAGCTCAGTGGTCAGCACTGCTGCCTCACAGCACCAGGGACCCGGATTCGATCCCACCCTCGGGTGACTGTCTGTGTGGAGTTTGCACATTCTCCCTGTGTCTGCGTGGGTTTCCTCCGGGTGCTCCGGTTTCCTCCCATAGTCTAAAGATGTGCAGGTTGGGTGGATTGACCTGAGAAATTGCGCCATGGTGTCCAAGGATATCCAGGCTAGGTGGATTAGCCATGGGAAATACAGGGTAAGGGGGGTTGGGTCAGGTGCTCTTTGGAGGATTGGTGTGGACTTGATGGGTCAAATGGCCTGCTGCCACATTGTAGGGATTCTCTGATTGCCGACAGAGCTGCCTTAACCATTTTTTTCAGCAAATTTCTCAGACACCAACTGTCAGGCCCAACAGCTTAGCAATAAAATCAACCCAAGGAATATTCTCGCCAAGGGAGATGTGACAAATGAAATTTTTGGGTTGGTGGCCCAGGCTTTGCACCCTTTTGCTGAGAAAGTTGCCTGTTTGAAAAATGCTAAGATAAACCCACCATGGACGGATTGCCAATACTTCAGGGTTCGGAATTAAAGACTTACAGCCAATTTTTGGAGTGTTGTCACCGTTGAGGTATGTATGAAGTACTGCAGCAAATTTGCAGACAGCAAGATCCCACAGACAGCAATGAGTTAATGACCAGACATATTTATTTTATTTGAAAGCAAAACACTGCAACTGTTGGAGATGTGAAATAAAAACAGAAAATGCTGGAGAAACTCCGTGGGATGGGCAGCGTTTATGGAGAGAGAATGTTTCAATGTTTCAAGTCTGGCATCACCCTACTTCAGAACTGGAACAAGACTGGAGTTCTGAAGAAGAATAGTAGCAGACTTGAAATGTTAACTACGTATTTTTATTTAGCTGTGTGGGTTGGGGGAGGATAAAGCAGGACTTTGATGACACAATGTGCTGATTTGATTGTAAAAGCCCAGGCTGACTTATTCGGTACATTATTGAGGATGGGCTACACTGCCAGAATGACCACTTTACTGGTGAGGCATTAATTTCCAGATCCTGAGGACCAAAGAAATCCTCCTGCATTGGGATCACTCCGTGTATCTCCCACACACTCACTCCAGCTCACCTTGCCTGCCCTTCATAGTAACATCATGCCTGAAGGTTTCCAGAATGGAAAACATCTCCAGACAGTCTCATATCTTGACCTCTGCAAAGTGTGACTAAGGAGAGAGAATGTCAGACTTTGTTGTGTTGGCCTCTGAGAAAGCAGTTCTCAGGATTGAAGAAACAGAAACATAGAAAATAGGAAAGGGGAATAGTCCATTCGGTCCTTTGAGCCTGCTCCATCATTCAGTATGACTATGGCTGATCATCCAACTCTGTAACCTATTCCTACTTTACCCCACACCCTTTGATCCCTTTAGCTCCAAGAACTATATCTAACTTCTTCTTGAAAACATTCAATGTTTTGGCCTCTACTGCTTCCTGCGGCCGAGAATTCCACAGGCTCCCCACCCTCTGGGTGAAGAAATTTCTCCTCATCTCATTCCTAAATAGCCTACCCTTTACCCTTCGACTGTGACACCTGGTTCTGAGCTCCTTGGTTATCAGGAATATCTTTCCCTGTCTAGTCCTATTAGAATTTTGTAGGTTTTTTTAATGACATCCACCTTCATTCATTTTAACTCCAGTGAATATAATCCGAACCAATTCGACCCCTCATACATCAGTCCTGCCATTCCAGGAATCAGTCTGGTAAACCTTTGCTGCGCTCCCTCCATAGTCAGAATGTCCTTCCCCAGGGAAGGAGACCAAAACTGCACACAGTACTCCAGGTGTGGTCTCACCATGTCCCTGTGCGATTGCACATGGCCTGGGTTTTTCCCTGTAGGGAACTAAAAGCAATAGTGAACCAGTCTGAATGGGGACATCTAGCCTTGTGTTTTAGTTCATAAAAGATCTTAACTCTTCGATGACTGTCATTCTTCCTATTCAAAAAAATAAATAGGACTTTCGAAGCTCCCGTTAACAGGTTAACTTGGAATCAGAATGTGGAGAGGTTACCTCTTACTAAGATGTAAATATTGGAATGGAGCTGAGCTGAGTAGAGCCAATGATAAGGGAAGTCGGACTGGGCTTGCTTAGCCATTCAGCACCTTCATTTAGGGCCATGCAATGATAGAAAGGGAGACTAAGTGTGAGGTTGCCTGCCGTTCTAGCTGTTTAGTATGAGCCTCACCCTCTGCCTGGCAATGGGAGGGCATGAGGTGTTTAAGTGGATGTTAGATGCCCACTTGAGTGTCTTAGTTGTCCTACTGGTGGGTGGGCATGCTGCTCATTGCCAGCCCTTTCACAGGTTAAATTTCCCTCAATTTGCCCACACCTCTCATGCCCTGGGAAGGCCAGGGGCAATGCTCAAGTGTTGACCTGACCTAACAGCCCTTCAGCTTCCACCATGGGGCCTTGTGAAAATGACAGTGGATCTACACAGAGGTCATGACCACAAGGGAGGTGGGATGTAACGAGGCGATGTGAAAACTCTGTCATGTCTGTCCACTCGGCCATCGCTATTGTTACAGGTTCAATTTGGAAATTGCATTGCCGTAGCTTGAATGGGATCACTGGTGCTTAACTGTCAGAAAATTCCCCCTCAAGCCTTTGGCTTTGTAAAATAACATTAGTGCTCTGGACCGTGATATTGATGGGATTTAGGTGTTGTTAATCTCTCTGTAGCAATTTGGTGCCTGCTCTCAGTCCAGGGGAAAGTATCTGTTTTCAGTGTGTTTTTGCAAGTGTGAATGTCATTCTGCATCTGGATACCATCACCTTGATCCATTGGATTCTCTACAGAGTGACTGGTTAATGATGCAGTTCCTGACAACAGGCAGCTCCCCCATCTAGGCCTCAATTGACAAGAACCAAAACAGTGGTGATTTAGGACAATATATTTCTCCAGGTTAGAGGAATGTAGAGTCATAGAGTCATAGAGATGTACAGCACGGAAACAGGCCCTTCAATCCAAATCATCTACGCTGACCAAATATCCTAAATTAATCCAGCTCCATTTGCTTGAGTTTGGCCTATATCCCTCTAAACCCTTCCTAGTCATGTACACATCTAAATGTCTTTTAAATGTTGTAATTGTACCAGCTTCCAACACTTCCTCCTGCAGCTCATTCCATACACACACCACCATCTGCATGAAAATTTTCTGCTAACATTTCTGTGGAGTACCTTGAGATGTTTTTACTGTATTAAAAGGGCTATATAAAGAGGAGTTGTTGTATAAATGAGTGCATATCTTTTTGGTCACTTATTTCTTGTCCAATTGCATGTGTCTCTGGACAAATAACAGAAACCTTTCCAGGCCACATCAAGTTGCATTTTGATCATGAAGACACTGAGTGCAGATCGGGTATTGGATTAGAATGAATTAACATAGTGCTATCCAAAGATGGTCCTACTGTTACACTGCAGAATTCTTATTGCAACTCTTGGAAGATGAAAGACACAGTTTCTTCTACACACAGTAGTAAAGATAATAGTTTTATCACTCAATGGAAATAAGGCCAAAGTAAATTAAGGAGAAATATCAGGAAAATAAAGACCAAAGTGAACAGAAATCATACCGATTTTGTGCAATATTAGGAAAGAATGTGTTAATACGCTCTTACAAACATCCTCAATAGGATTTTGTCACAAAATTGAAGAGCCAGGG